TTTAGGAAAAGAAATATATTTTATTGTGATATATAACTTAACGTCATTTGTAATCAATCATTATTACTTAATTATGCTAATATAGCATTTTTTTAAAGCTTTTATTGAGAAGAAAAATATTTATTCAGCTTACAAATTATGTAACAATCCACGTATTGATAGCAACATGGAGGTTAGTGACATTGATGAATTGTTTTGATTCTGTTTTCGGAAGCATGCGTGCAATGTTGTTTATTGGGTTTTTCACCTTGGTGAACTAAAATTCTGTTTCAGATTTTGATTGCATTTAAACGTATGTTGATGAGGCACTATTAAATTAAAAAAGAAGCTTGATCAGTATTATTACACCTCTGATTAAATGATGGAATGAAATCTAAATTATTTTAGATCGATTAATATGAATTTCAAATATTTCATAAAATATATTTTCATCCTCGGGTTTATTTATTTAGACAATACAGTATGCAATCGAACGAGCGACTTAATGAGTAAAAGGTGAAGATAATGAACAGTGACCGATCTAAAAAAAAAAAAATCTACAAAAAATACAAATCTGTGAACAACCCATAAAATAAGCACCACAGAAAAATTCTAGAAGGGGATCAGTTCCCTATAGGAGGAGAGCATCTCCCATTGACCGATCAACACACCGTGAGCCCTATGTATTGATCAGGTAGACGGAACACTCCGAAATCATTTGTATACAAACAAAGCCGAACAATTGGTATGAAACGTGTCAGCCAAAATACAACCCAATGATATGTTTTTTTTTTGTTTTGTTTTGCTTTTTTATTTGTAGAGAAACTTTCCTCAGTCGCGAAAATTAATTGTCGCGGATTGATTTCAACTTGACGATTCGCGAATAAAAGATGACGCGAATAATAATTGGTTTACAATATCTGCTAATAAAAAAAAATTGTATGGTATTTTGGGGTAACCAATTATTACACCTCTCTTTATATTGATCAGTTCTATTTTATGTGACGCAGATATTTTTTGTTTCAATCCAAAACCAAATACTCCGAGTAAAATGATTTACAGGGATATGAGGACAGTATCTTTAACTGTACATATCAAACAAGAAAAAATGTATATTGGAAAAAGTATACGGAAACAATCAAAACTAGATGTATAATGCAGAAATAGCTTAGTGCTGAATTTGTCAATGGTGTCTAAGTGGTACGAATCGAAATGGTAAAAAATATGAAATGAATTTTAGACGATAGTGGATATAGTAATCTACACTGAAGAAGAAACTGATTAATTTTTTTTTACATTCCTTCTAACGTGTACAATACTTTCATAAAAATAGGAAATGAAAGATATTTTCATCAAATGTGCCAATGACTCAGTCAAGAACGTTCCAAGACGATAATTTATATATTATACTTTCATGTAAATTAGTTGAATCTGATTCGTCGAGAAACATTTGTTAAAAAACACTGTCACCCACTGAACAAGCATTCTGAGAGTATTGCATTAGCAATACTAGTCCCCTACCGGCAAGTGTAATCTGGTTCCTGTTAAAAATCAGAAGTGCCATAATTCCGTCAAAAATCAATAAAGCGGAACGAAATGCAAACTTGATCTATAACTCATCAAGATAAAGTCACATACCAAAAATCAGCTCAATATCTGCAAGCGTTTAGAAAAAAGTGCGGAAAACCAAATGAGACAGAATGACAGACAGCTAGAGGGACAGATAGACAGACGGACAGACAGCTAGACGGACGGAAGACTCATAAGAAACCTATAGTTCCCTCCGGTTTCACTGGTAGGGGACTAATAATGAAGCCACGCCCTCCAGAGTAGCAACAGTCAACATTGCTTGACGACGGGTGATATTCCAAAAAATAGTGACTGTGCAGAATTTATGCGCGCAAGGTTCACTGTTATATTTATTTGTATAAAACATTCAGTATAATATAATAAATATTGCATGTAGTTGAGTGTAACATTGAAAATTTTCACCCCTCGAAAACTATTGTATATATATATATATATATATATATATATATATATACATATATATATATATATATATATATATATATATATATATATATATATATATATATATATATTAGGGATGTCAAATCGGTCAATTTTTGATAATCGGTTACTCGAACGTTTTTCCGATCGAGTACCCGGGTACACGGTAAAAATGTAAAATTTATTAATACAAGTGTGTTAATTTTTCCTTGAGCCACGTTAAGTTCGGTCAAACCCCAGAGCTGTTTTTATCAAGTTTACAAACGTATATAAACATAGATTCCAACGAAAATACACAATAAATACATCAAAAATTACAATCAGTTTACAGTTCTTGTTTAGGATCTATTTGATCAACGCAGAAGGAGGACAATCTGTTACGCAGGTTTGTGATGATTAAACTAGGGAAAGAGAAGGAAGGATGCTGTTGGGATCGCTAGTCTAATATTTTTTTTTCATATGTTGGTTGTTTCCACGGTATACACTAAACCTACTACGCAAACTGACTTTCAACATTTTTTTTAATCTTTCGTTATTTCTAAATATTTCTTCACTTTTGAAGTGGGTAGCGGCATTTTTATGCATGTTCAATTTCGCTGCCGTATATAAACTTAATTTAAAAATGATTCAAAGATAATAGACCATACATAAACGATGAACAATGAAAACAATCGTTGAAGCCATTCAAAAATTAAGGACAACAATAGGTGAGAACAGCTGTGTACCAGGTGATTGGTCACTAATTACTGTATATACACAGCCACAGGCGATAACGGGTGTTTTCAGGTGTAGATGACGAGACGTTATTTACCGTATGCGTATTTAAGTTATTTTTTGTTTAAAATATATACTTTGAAATAAGAAAAATATATACTTTGAAATAAGAAAAATATACATCCGAGTAACCGAGTAGCATTTTTAGTATTCGATACTCGGACGTTCGATCGAGTACCCGGTTAACCGGGTACTCGTTGACATCCCTAATTTATATATATATAAAGTATATCGTATATCGTTGTTCCACTTAAGGACATACGCAACGTAGTTTGACCTTTATTGTCCTTTTCTCTGGAGTTGAAGAGTTCCAATACTTAAAGGAAATGTGTGCTACATTTTAATGTCTATATATGCTGTTGTACATTTCTTCTAAAACAAGCTCGGATAAACAAACCATCTAGAATATATATTTAGTAATTTTTGTGTATTTTTCTTTGACTTATACAAGAATTTTCATCTATTATTATCTTTTCAAAACCCCTGGTAATGCATGCTGATTTTTTGTCTACGAACATCTGATGGCACTATAATCTTAAATTAAGAATATCTTGAAAAATTATCAGTAGGTAAGGTACGTTGCGTATGTCCTTAAAGACCTTACAAATGCAATTATGGCAAAAAGAGTTTTCTATGTGATCCATCGTCATAAAACTACGTAAGCCAGTGCAATAATAAATGTTTTTAAACTAGCAAATTTTCTCAAAATATGTCAAGTAATGAAATGATTGTTGTGATCTTGAAAAGAATTTGGATTTGAGGTTTGAAGGTAATGCTAAAAGTGCACTTCACACATTTATGAAAAGTTATTTATGCGACTTGAACTTATTATCTTTGATCATAAATAATATCACAGATATGAAACTCACAATACCTATTTAATCTTTAGTCGCAAACATACTAGTATACTATCGAATATATTTTTAGAAAATTATAAATCCGAATAGTTTACGTTTAAATGGGAATGATCAATATGCAGAGGAATTAACATTATAGTACCCCCACTCCCTATGGGGTAAGATTTACTGTACAGTAGCACATCCAAGGGTGGGGTTCTTTACTATTATTATTGAAAAGTATGAAATTTTGACAAACAAAACTTTTCTGCGAAAATTTTTTTGGCAGAAATCAGTCTATGATTTATAAAATTTGGTACTCTTGGGGTTCGAACCCAAGTAATAAAAATCCTGAGTGTCAATTTTCCCTTCGAGACTATCACGGTTGACGCTAACCACAACCGCTCATACCAAACATCGCGACTTAAATCATGTTTGTGATATGACCCTTAACTGGCTAAACTTCAAATATTTCTCGGAAAGGTACGAAAGGTGTGCAACAAAAGTGTATTTTTTAAGGTAAAATGGGTCTTTGCTCAACCTTTTTGTTGACCGAAAAGTGTATATTTTTACGCATACTTTGAGTACATGTTTTAAAGAAATGGAGCAAAGACCAACTCATATGGAAAAATTGTGTTTTAGTATGAAGAATTGATCCTCTTTTTGTCCTCTGTGGTGTTTGTATGCTATAATTTCATAGATGAATAATTTCAATCTTTGTGAGAATAATGTTATTTGTGGAGATTTTACATTCAGTATAAGTTAATATTAAATGAAATATCAGAATTATCATAATTGGGATTCAATTTTTCATTTTTTGTATTCATCGGACAATTACAATATGCATTTCAGTCACCTTGTTCGCCCATCTTCTTTAATTAGAACTTAAAAAAAAATACCAGGTAACAAAAGATAAATTACTGGTTTGGATTTAAAATTATTAACAAGGTTCTTCCGCAGAAATAAATACTTATTAATTCTTTGTGAAAAATAAGAGAAAGTAATTTATGTTCTCTATGTTTCCTAAAAATGATTAATTGTGCATAATTTCTTTTACTATTCAAAATAAATTCATTTTGGTCCCATTCAGAAGATCGGAATTTAAAAAAAAAACATTGATATATGCACAGTTATCCATCTTTTTTTTTTCTAAGAACACAGACAGCATTTTTAATTTTTAATCTAATACTAGTTGTGTACATTTTCTTAAAAAAAAATCAGTTTAATTAAATGCATATTATTTGTTACGAATGCAGAAAAATAAAATGCATTCATTTTATTTATATAAAAAAATATATCTAGATTTTTTTTTGAGAACTGAGGAAGAACCACCCAATCGGATCTACAGTATATATATTTCCACATTGTACAATTATCAACACAGATTTTTAAATCAAGATGATTCTACAAATCCTATTCTTGGTCCTCTTTGCGTTTGAATGTCAGAGTCGAGTCGTAAGACCACACGGGAAATGTGAGAATAACGTCTGTCACTTTGAATTGAACGTTGATTACAAGTTCACCATGATGTGGTACAACTACACGAACATTAGAGAACCACAGTTTAACCCTGTCGTCATTAGAGATGGATTGCTCCAGAGAAGGGTCACAAACGTGGCTTGCCGGGACAACTACATACCGCTCTCTAGAGAAGGTATATATATATATATATATATATATATATATATATATATATATATATATATATATATATATATATATATATATATATATATATATATATATATTCTGATGGAAAAGTGCATTTCATTTATTACCAAATTTTTTTTATTTAATTCGTGGTTTTTGCTGAAAAGTGTTTTTTTTTTTTTATTGCTGTAAAATTACTTATTTAAGTAGGGTCAATTTTTGTTGAGGTTGAAGGAAATATATTTGTTTGCGAGGATTTAAATTGTTTGAATAAGAAACCTGATGCTATAATTAGATTCCTTAAAATTTCGGTAATAACATTAATTTGTGTGTCTCTTCAAACCATGAAAAGAACGAAAATTAAACACGACAAAAATATTTCGTTCCGTCTACTTGATTAATACATAGGGTTCACAGCGTGTATGATCTGTCAACACGGGATGCTTATTCCTCCTAAGCACCTGATCCCACCTCTGGAATTTCCAGGGATCCGTGTGTATGCCAGTTCACAGATTTGTACTGTTTGAATTTTTTTGAGATCGATCACTGTTTGCTATCTTTAGCCCTGTTGCATTTTACAATACACTGCAAGACAGCCTATAATATTTAACAATACATTTGACTTAACAAAGTACTTATAGACACTTCTCTACAAAACTGAGTGTTTCCCAATAGGAAGCAGTTTAATTTGGTTTAAAATGTTTAAGAAATAAAGTCCACGTTTATCGCGAACGTTGCAGGATAACCTCCGTGGTCGAGAAATGTTGTTTGAAATAAAAAAGCCGAGGCCTTATCCGAGGCTTTTATTTTTCAAACAATATTTCGAGACCGAGGAGGTTATCCTGCATCATTCACGACAACAAGGACTTTACTTCTATTCTACTAACTGCTCTAGAATCTAGATCTTTTCCTCTTTAGAGAAACGAATTAGGTCACCATGTCGCGATTACGCCGCATGTTCCATTTAACATCAGAGGGTCAATTTGTTTGTTTACTTATTAGTAGACTTATTTTTGTACTCATATGCAGCAGAATTTGTTCAAAATCTTGTTCGTGAAAAAAACGAAAAACAAAAAAACACTTGCTGTGGCCTTCAACTCGACATTTAGATATATCGACGACGTTTTGTCAATTAACAATGGTTATTTCGATTCTTATATCCCGGTGAGCTTGAAATAAAAGACACCACAGAGTGTGACACATCTGTATCATATTTGGATAGTTTACTAGAAAAAGACGTTAATGGTAATCTTACAACCAAGCTTTATGATAAACGAGATGACTAACTTTTCAATCGTCAACTTCCCACACTTATGCAGCAATATACCTTTATCACCTGCATACCGGGTTTATATCCCTCAGATGATTCGATACTCAAGAACATGCTCTACGTATGAACATTTTCTAAAACGAAGTAGGTTATTGACAAACAAGTTGATGAAACAAGAATATCAGCAGTCTCGTTTAAAGTCTTCATTTCGTAAGTTCTATGGTCGATACAATGACCTTGTCAGCAAATACAATTTATCATTAAGTCAATTGCTGACTGACGTTTTTCATACTAATTTTTTAGCCATTATTTACACACTGATTTATCGAAGGATTTTTCCGTTATATCCCGATCATGACAAGGAGCACATGGCGGGTGTGACCGGTCGGCAGAGGATGCTCACTCCTCAATGGCACCTGATCTCACCTCTGATGTTTTAGAGGTCTGCGATATTGCTCTGCTCCAAAATATGTATTGTTTAATGGACTTTTGAGCTTGAATACTGTTCGTTATCTCCATATATTTCATTCTGTTTCGACTGCATAAAATGCATACTATTTGAGCTTTTGTTGGGTTTAAAAATATCCTTGAATTATTCATAAATTTGTTTGTACCATATATTGATTAATTTTCATGAATATAAAATAACAAAATCAGTTGTTTATTTTATTGCTTAATCAGTAAAATCACGAAGTATAAATGCTGTAAGGAGGTGGAGCACCCCAACTTAGCTTAAAATACCGACATTTATCAGCTGTTTTAGGCAATACACACTCTTTAGATAGCGGAAGACGACTCATCGATATGGTCTACATAAGTATTAGATTATACAGTTAAATATTCATTTTAAAGGTCAAGTATAATATTTTTTTGAAAATCCAAAATTATTCATGATTATCTGCCTTTGGAACAATATGAATAACATTATATCCCTAACAAAAAAATACTATTGTAAAAACTTTGAAACTTTGATTTACTATAGTAAAATCTTTGGAACTTTGATTTACTATAGTAAAAACTTTGGAACCTTGATTTACAACTGTATAGTGAATGTAATGAGTAAATAAATGACAGGTGTTGACATTTAGTAAAATGAGTGAAAGATTCAAAGGTATGGATTAATTAAATAAACTCAGTGACGCTTTGATGTTTGGACATAAAAAAACCCAGATAATTACACAGTGTTGTTTTTAGAGATTATCAGTTCTTGAGACATAGCACTCTGTCTCTTTGTAACAACAGATCAAGAGTCCGAAAGGTGTCAGTGGTCAATTTAACAATTAGATTCGCGAAACATATCGTGAGAAATAAAATATGACACAACTTAGAAATTGAAAAGTAAAGTCCAAAATAAAGTTCTTTCTTGAACAGTGATTTTTCCACTGAGATAGTACGCAGAGATGGGCAGGGGATTTGGAGGTGAGGGTGTAAGGCTCCAAATTTCAAAAATCAAAATTTTATTAATACATTACCAAATTACCATGATATAACTACACTTCAACTAATGTTGGTAGGGGGGGGGGTAATCTCCCTTTCAAATAACATTTTAATAGTAAAAGGTAAGGTTTGGAAATAAGTGGAGGAGGGTCCCCCCCCCCCCCCCCCCGGTGAAGGCACAGAAGGTTCTGCCTTTTAACAGTTATTTCATTCATTTTCTGGCAAAATAAAAATTATGCCATGTAGTTTTTGTTTACAAAATAAAAGACTTAGTAATATTTATTATTTTAATGCAAAGTTCATACTTTCATGGAAACTTATTGAACATGTAGTATCAAAAGCACGTTATATACTAAATGTTAACTTTTAAATCATATACTAATAGATCATATCATTCAACGATGCGCTTGAATTTTAATTTCTCGAAGATTTTTTTAAAAAAAAAAAAATCAATGTATTAAAAAACAATTACAAATCAATGAATGACTTGGTAATGGTTTAATAAAGGGTTTCAGATTTTATCATAGAGTCATGATAATTTAAAATTCAAATAAAAACAGTATGACACAAAATAATTCGAAACACAAATATTTGTTGGATGGGAATGGGGTTTTTTTCGGATCTCTCTCCCTCTTTCCTTACTTATTTGTTTTTTTTTTGTGGGTGGGGGTGGGGGTGGGGTTGGGGGGTGATGTGTACGCACTTTCGTATTTGCATATCTACGCGCCTGGAGCCTTCGGACGAAACAGAATCGGTCGAAGAAGAATAATCATTTTCATGTACTTTCTTTGATTAGCTCAAACATGTAGAGCCTATTCTTAAATGAAAGATCTACCTCTGGTATATCAACATCTTCGTTCCCTAAAATTTGCCATTTTTAAGATAGTCGAGAGCAATATATTATATTTATACTACTTATACTATATTTATATTATAACTACTATCAGTTTCTGATGTCGATTGTCTCTTATGACGTCACAAAAAGGGGAAGTTACTATATTGATAAACGTTATTTTTAGCGATTTTTAAACAGGTAATATTATATGAGTATTGTGATTCTCTCTTTTTAACTATTATTTACAAAATATACCATTTACAAGTGTTTCTATTTTCTATGAATTTGACCTTTAACTGTGCAGGTTTGATATGCGTTTCTAATCTGATCTGTTTTATGACGTTCGTGATTTATTGCAGAATTATGTCCGCGGCGGACCTAAGGTCACCAATTTTTTTGATCTCGGCAATAACTGTAGTAGAATTATTATAAATAGATACTTCCAGACTGATCCCAATTAGAGCTTTGATAAAAGAACAAAAGTATTCAAAATGCAAATACAATGCATGTTTACTTGCCTCTGAAAGTGAACATAAATCATTTGGCAAAGATGGTAATTTTTCCCCCCGAAGAAAGAGATATTTTTTTCTGAAAGGTAATTGCGGAAGTAAACGTAACTATCCTAATGTTAAAGAGCCAAATGTTCATTAAGTAATTTTATTGACATGGAATAAACGACAGTTTAACAATGCATTTCTTCTGATTATTGTTCGTTTAATTATTATTTTTTTGTTTTATTTTTTTTTTTATTTGTCGCTTTTTTCTTTGAATTTTTAAAATAAGTATGTCTTCTCCTAAATGCTACGTTCGCATCATCACGATTTTCAACACCATTGAAATCGTGGACTAATCGTGATGGTCGTATAAAATCAGATCGTGAGTTAGTAGTGGCAATCGAGTTGATCGTAAAATTCTTTTTCACGTGTCAATTTTTTTTTCTACGATTTACACTATTAATGTTTAATCGTGATTCTTGCATCACATCGTATTGCCTCGTGGCATAGCGCAAAGTATCATAATTGTACCATTAAATCGTGATGATTTAAAGTTATTTGGGACAATACAAGCATTGCGTTCTGTTGAGATACATTATGATGTCAAATATTAAAATGGAATTGTGATTTGGAGTTACTTTGGACAATATATATTTCACGTTATGATCTTGTCTATTTGGAAACCTTGGTTTTTATATAAAAACTGAAGTTTTCTTTTTGAGACAAGTATTTACAGTATCAAGAAATAATCCCATCTACATATACATTAAAAGAGCAATCACCAATCTAAATATTTTTCTTTGCATTTTAATAACTATAGATACACAAGATTTTTTCCACATTAATAGCCAAATTTTAATTTTCATCAGAGGAAAAAATTAAGTCGATGGTCAATAAGGCGCCACATATACCCGCCGCAGCCTAAACGTAACTCAATACATAATCACTTACGATTCTGATCGTGGAAGGCATTACAACACATATGTATTTTGCCGCATCATAGCGTATCGATATGTAATTACCGTACTGTAACGTAAAAAAAGTAACTTATCGTGTTAAATTGGGAATCTTAATCGTGATGAATATCGATATCCGATCGTAATTTCGATCGAGACAATCCTATCGGAACTTGTGTGAACACATTTGAACGGTGATGTGACCTTGACAAATTGTATCATATGACATTGAACAAGCATGACCCTATCACTTCAAAGTGCTAAAATATCGTATAAGAAGTTTCGACTCGCATCACAAAACCTATCCAAACCTGAAGTTCCAAATCAGTTCTACGATCAGCTACAGATGTGATCGTGTTTGTAATGAATCGTACGATATAATAGGAACGTAGAATAATTCGAATTTTATTGCCCCCAAGTATTTTGCCAGTTAAAAATGGTTCACCGTAAAAATGGATGCAAGACCATTCCCTGTCCAAAGATGAAGATTTAAAAATGGGATCCTGGATGTTATTCAGTCCCTTGAACTATGTTCTCTAGTGACAGTATATTATGCATTCTCAGTATTTTTGGCCTGGCTAGCTATATAGGTTGCTGATCTTGTAAACTCGATTCCTTCTGACAGTCAAACGGTCCCTCCCAGACCCCTCCCTGTCCAAAGATGAAGATCTAAATATGGGATCCTGAATGTTATCCAGCTCCTTGAACTATGTTCTCTTATAACAGTATTATAGATTACGCATTTTCACCATATTTTGGCCGGGCTGGCTAAATGGATTGTAAGTCCTCAAAAATTTAATCTTTTTTGACAGTCAACCGGTCAATCCGCCTCCTCCTTTTCAAAGATGAAGCCCGATTTATTGGATTCTTGGGGCCATTTAAAAAATATATACATGTAATTTTGAATTATTCAAAATAGATGCATGGTGGCATAATGTAAACGTATTACATTTGGCTGTGTATCCTTTTTAGCGCTTTTAGCGGAAATCAACTTCTGCTAATTGAAGTACATCTTTGACTTGCACAAATACACATAAATAAGTACATTAAGAAATGCGCCAAATCTAGACTAGGCTGACTTGTGCAATAATTCATTTCCGCCAAGTATCGCACACGCTAATAATAATATATATTTACAGTATATCTAAAACTAGCAAAATAAATATGTATACATCTTAATAGGTATTCGAAATTACTAAAAGCTGTTTCCCACTGATTGAAAAAACCACTTTTGATTATATGACGTGTTTATCTTTTTAACAACATAGAAGAATTCGAATCAACACAATCCACAGCTTCTCGGTGTATACTCGGATTTTGTCTCTTTACGAGATTAATAGTTTAGTTCCTAATATCTATACCATACACTAATGCCATCTATAAAAAATTTCAAATAAATCTGATATAACCCATTCAGTAATTTATGAAGCTTCAAGTTAACATAAACTCAAAAATTAAAACTTTCCTTAATTATTATGCCCCCGTATCGAAGATTCGGGGGTATATAGTTTTTTCCTTGTCCGTCCGTCTGTTTGTCTGTTTATCTGTCTGTTTGTCTAAACAGCACGCATTAATTCAAATGATGAGAGCAATAATTGTTTTGATATGCGAATCAATTCAATTATTGAACGCATTAATTCAATTACTATCTTTAAACTAAGAAGAATTTGTAACAGCTCTTACAAGTATTCATGTGTCAATTTTTGCATTTTTTTGAGATGTCTGAGCGATTTTTAAATGATTTGTCCGCATTTACGAAAACTGCAAAGGTAATATTATCTTTTTTTTTATTGTTTAAAAGATGATCATGGAAAAGTTATGGCTGATTGAGGATAGCTTTCGTTCAGGACGGAAATCTCAAACAAACAAACATACTAAAAACAAACAAAAATTAAATTTAGCAATACATAACGCTCAGAATTTAGCAAGGTGGAAATTAGTATGATAAATAACCAGATGAATATCTTTCTCCCACAGAATTCCACGAAAACGTAAGTCCTGGGGATGGAAATTACAAACTGGCACTAGCTTTCAACGGACAAATTCCTGGACCGGATATGGTTGTATATGAGGATCAAATTGTAAGTGTATATAAAGAAAATATTACTTAATAAAATCCATAGTATGTCACATCAACTCAAATGGCCCTATATCATACCTAGGGCCAAATTTAAGGCCCGAAGGCTTATATGAGACCCTGACTGGCTTGACTTGTGCTATGGATTGTATGTAGTATTCTATTTATAATATATCTGAAATATTCCAGTTTCATGTGGCTTTGTTCTATGTGTGAACCTCTTTCTTTAAAAATAAATTGAGCAGGTCCTTTTAAAAAGTCAATGTTAAATCTGAAGATAACGAACAATAATCAATGTAAATCTTATACGGTACCAAATTTGATGCACCAGATATGCATTTCGACAAGGTATGTCTCTTCAGTGATGTTCATGCCGAAACTTCGGAAATCCGAAATATTAAAAAAAAACTTTGAAGAGCTGAAAAAGGTGATGCCAAAGTCTGGAGCCAAATACATAGAAGGATCAGAGCTATGCACGAGGGAGATAAATCTAGATAAATTCAGTAGCAAAACGAATCGAGCAGTGAGAAATCTTTTTCCGTGCCAACACCTACTGCGACACGCGGGACCTTTGTTTATATACGGTGTCATCCGAAAGATCGGTCCCCACGTCCTGCAGTGGATTCGAACCAGCGGCGTAAGGATCAGCTCCTTGCTCTGCGACTCTAGAGCAGACGCTCCAACCACTGCGCCAAACGGGCGACTAATGTAGTTGAACATAAATCGACTTGTCAGTGTGCATTCTACATAGTACTTAATATTATCGTCATTATTTCAACTCAAAGTGAATTTGCTTATAGGTTTCTGTTTATGTACACAACCTTCTGGAAGTTGAAGGAGTGACTATTCACTGGCATGGCATTATACAGAGAGGAACCCCTTTCATGGACGGGGTTGACATGATAACCCAATGTCCTATTTTACCAAAACAAACGTTTGAGTACAGGTACCATATTTATTATATTTTCTAGAATTGTTCATGCTATTCATTATCACAGATTGTTCGAACACAAGTCGACACTGATTGTGAAAAAATGATACTACATGCATAATAATTTTAAAGCGAGAAATGTTCAATCTCTTTCCTATGTCATTTATTCTGGTAGTTACTAGAAACGTCTAGAGGTTTTGTTTTCCATCCCTATAACCATACCCTTTACTCCATTCAAATGGGTAAAATATTCAGAGTTATTTTTACCTCATGCTTACTAAAAATTATGTAAATGTCTAAAACAGGTTTGATCATTATGACGTCATCACATTTTGAATTTACTATCAGAAGATGCAATCGCTATCAAAACTATAAGAAGAAAAAAAAAAGTTTTCGTTATTTAAAATGATAAAATGAAAAAAAAAAAAAAAAAAAAAAAAAAAAAAAAAACACAATGAAAATTAATGGGTCGAAAGAAAGGAATGTTAAATATATTTAAAATTACAATTACAGATTTCTTGCCTCACCTGTGGGAACACACTGGTATCATGCACACACAGGAACTATGAGATCTGATGGACTAGCAGGTGCTCTCATTGTGTTGCCCAGAATTAGGCCACCTATAGTAAGACTTACATTCATACATTTATGAGTAGAGTGAAAAAAAATTGTGCCTAACCTTCGTACGATATTTTCAGAAAGATTTTCATTCATTATTAAATAATTAAGGTACATTTGTAGATAATTAAATTTTAATTTCCAGTACAAAGTCCTGAATCATTTTGATTTAGTGTACACGTACTTTTCTTCTGTGTTTTTAGATTTTTATTACAATAACATGTTTATTTTGAGTACATTTAAAAGATTCACCAATGGAAACATACAAGTATAATTTACAGAGAATCCCACGTGAGCCAGTTCCTAATGTTGATACAGAATTCTCTGTTGTGCTTATGGATTGGATGAGACAGACTGCCAAAGAAAAGATGCAGGCTGTGAGAGGGCGGTTTGCCGTGTAAGGCACCTTACAGTTATAATACTGTGGTTTATGCATATTCGTGGGGACGAAATATTAATGTTTACATTGAATTCTAATTTTCGATGCTTTTGTGATCTGAATTATAATACGAAATTTGATGATCAAGGAGCTGCAAATTTTTCTAATTAAAGAAAAACAAGTACTGTTCGTTATCTCCATATATTTCATCAAATAATCCTTTAAAAAGACAAAATTTCTTACTTCAAACTTTTTTCAATCAGTTTGGATGAATTCGATGGAGATTGTCTTCCATTCATTGTACATCCTGATGGTTCCGGTAAATTATTCCAACTCCATACGGGCCTTGTCAATGGACGTGGTATGAATTATACATTGTGTATGAGACAATATTTAGTTGAAAGTACATACAAATTGATAAAAGAATGGAAATATTGAATTGCAGTATATTGTGCAAAATTATAGAAAAAAATACAAAGCTGAAAGCCATTCAAGACAGCGATGTCATTAGTATTTACCTAAAATAGCAAATTGGAAACATTTATCTTACAATAAAAATTATGTTTTTGCGAAAATATTCCTCTCTGAATTGTAAAATAAGAAGATCGAAATACGAATCTAAGACGTTAAAATTTTAACAGAATAATACATATAAACACATGCTCTAATTTGATTTTATTTTTGTAGGGAAAAGATACATCCTTAATGATCCAAAAGTACCAGAAAAACCTTACATTCCACTGGAGACTTTTACTGTTGAACAAAACAGATATTATAGGTTCAGAGTGATTAATGCTGGCTTCGAAGCGGCATTTGAAATTTCAGTAGACGGAGTAAGTTAGGTCCATTTGTGACGGTACATATTGTCGTTTTGTACATATTGTCGTCGGCGACAATATGTACCTACCCTCACTGCACATATTGTCGTCCATCGGTACATATTGTCGCCGGCTGAAAAGTTACACATGTACATATTGTCGCTGGCGACATTATGTGCCTCACCCTCACTGTACATATTGTCGCCCCACATTAAAGATTTTTTTTGTTGTTTTTTGGTAGTTTTGTGAATGTATTTGGTGTGTGATCGCACTGACGTGTCTCGTATGGTATTTCATGCAGCGTGATTGTGACGGTACATTTTGTCGTCCTGTTCATATTGTCGCCGGTGACAATGTGCACCTACCCTCACTGCGCATATTGTCGTCCATCACATCATGTCGCATGACAATGCCCGGCAATGTAACATATAAATATGACTAATCGTTGTTTAGCTGTTTTTGAGAAGATAAGTTTCAAAGAATTTTCCCATATATTCCCATGTTAAACTTTGATCGCGTATTGTGGCCCCACCCTAAGCCCGGTTTGATTTCAAGATACTTGAATCTGCGCTACCCGACGATGCTTCCATATAAACATCACTAATCACGGGTTTACTGCTGTTCCTCAGTGGTGGATACAGAAATTTCTGAACGGAAGAGGGGGGGGGGTGCGGTTCAGAATTTTTTTGACAAGCAAAAAAGAGTCATTTGTATGTAAAGGGGTGTTATTGTATATGTTGAGTAAATTATTTAATTATGAAATTTTACCTGTGGACTAAATTGAGAGTATATACAAGTTGAACAAACAGAATTTAACAAAGCAAAAAAAAAAAAAAAAAATAATCAAACCACCGGAGCGGGGGGGGGGGGGGGGGTTGCCGGTGCTACATTTGTCTGCTTTTTGAGAAGATTTTTAAAAGATTTTCTATATATATTCCTATGTAAAACTTTGATCACCCATTGTGGCCCCACCCTATCCCTGGGGTCATGATTTGAACAAAATTGATTTTGTTTTTGTTTGTTTGGTTGTTGTTGTAATGTCCATCTCGAGAATTTTTCATTCGTATGTAGACGTCACCACTTGCCGGTGGAGGGCTACAAATTTAGACCTATACTTGGCACTCAGGGTCATTGAGCAGTGAAGGATCTTTTTCGTGCCAGCACCTCAAAATTGAACGTACGCTACATGTATGTAATGAAGCTTTCACATTAGTATCATCTCTTCTGACCCAGCAGTTCTTGATTTTGAAAGAATTTTTTCTAAACATTAGAAATGAAAAACTTTGATAACCTATTGTAGCCACACCCTTCCCCGAGGGACATGATCTGAAAAAAAAAAAAAAAAAAAAAAAAAAAAAAAAAAAAAAAAAAAAAAAAAAACTGAATCTACACTTCATAATGAAGCTTTCACATAAGTTTCAACTTTTCTGACACAGCGGTTCTTGAGAAGATTTTTAAGAGATGTCAGTAAATATTCACTAATTCTTAACTACTTCCCTTGAAAGGGACATGGCCCATCATTTGAACAAACTTGAATCCCCCTTATCCACGGATGCTTTGTGACAAGTTTTGTTGAAATTGACCCAGTAGTTCGTGAGAAGCTTAAATTGGGAAAAGTTTACAGACAGAGAGACGGTCAGACAAAATGTGATTAGAAAAGATCACTTGGACTTAAATTTCAGGTGATCTGAAAATGTAAACCCTAACACCAATTATATCGGTACATGATTGTATACAAGAATAACGCAAAAAATAATTTCTAAATAATCATTACTACTGAACAAAAAAACTTATACATGTATTCTATCTCCAAGTATGTATTACAAGAAAAAAGAATAGGCTGATTTATCAGATATCTCAAGAATTACGGTATCGTTATATATCATAGTGATGTACATCAATTTTGGACATAGTTTTCTGACTTAAAAGGTTTTTTTCTCTACAGTATTGCGAATAATGCTGTCTGTCTCCCTGTATGCGTGTGTGTGTGTTTGTCAATCTCTCTTTCCTTTCTCATGCAAGTAAATATTCGTCAAAACAATATATCGACGACAATGTATGCAGACCTTGACTGTACATATTGTCGCCGACGACAATATGTGCTGGTGCTTGACTGTACATTTTGTCGTCCATTATGCAGGAGAAAAATAAGGCTCGTCTCGGTACATATTGTCGCCGGCGACAATATGTACCGATGGACGACAATATATGCAGTGAGGGTAGGTACATATTGTCGCCGACGACAATATTTACAAAACGACAATATGTACCGTCACATCCATTCCTTACAGTTATGCAACATATCTACATGCTTTATCTCCAAAACCAGAAAGGTTAACTACAAACATGTGCACTCATTTTAGTGCATTCAAACTTCAAAGAAGAAGATATATAGTTATCTTCACAATTAAGGGCCTTGTTGACAAATTAAATGTTAGCGCGGCAGGATAATTTGTTGGCACGGAATATGCTGTTAAAGGACCGATGGCATCTAAAAATAAAATGAAGTGCTTTTATTTACATTCTCTAGTTTTCTCTTTTTATAATTGTTAATTTCGTCAATCTTTATTATGAATTTAGCGCCTTTAAGAACTGTTATGCTTAATAGACGTAAGAGCCGTTTTGACCTTGAAAGTTAAATAACGCAAATGAATATTGCGAGGGAAAAAAATTACATATTAAATTTAAACGTACGATTGTTTTTACAATAACTTAACAGGGTAGTTGTTTTAATTAAATTGAGCCAAAACACTATACTTTTGGGTGTTCCTAGAGTATTGAAAATGCATATAGTTCCTACTGTGTATTCTACCGCGCAGTTTCGTGTGTTATAGAGCGTTCAATGTTGTAGATTTCAAATGGATTTCTTAAAGAAAACTACAGGTACTCTAAATTTAAATACATGTATATCTATCTCAGGCCCGTAGGAAGCAATTTCAGTTTGGGGGGGGGGGGGGGGCACAGCCATACATTTTCAGTTGAGTGGGCACTATCAACTACCAAAAATTTCTTGACAAGCAAAAAAAAAAAAAAAAAAAGGTCATCAGAAGTTTTTATTGAGGGGGCACAAGCATATAGTATCTATGTTTTCTATAGTACTCTATATATCGGCAAAATTATTGGGGGGGCACGGCCCCCCGTGCCCCCCCCCCCCGGTTCCTACGGCCATATTATCTGTATTACATTTTGTACTTTTGTGTTACATTTCTATATTCATCTCACAAATACAACAAAATATTATACCAGTTTAATTAAATAGACGTCGAAATAAAATTTAGCAAAAATACATAGAACTGATAATTTGGAAGACACACAAAACATTCGATATTTAAACAAAATTATGTATCATTACAATCGACATAAAAATTAGGGCAGCGCGCTTAACTCCAGGCATTCATCAGTTTGCATCAAATTATGAAAAAATAGAGTTATCTGTCTTGTCACGTTAGAATTATACATGGTTTGTGACGAAATGAATGATATAATTTATGTAGTGCATTGTTGAAATCTGCCTGTTACAAGTATCAGGATTAATGGGAAAGAAGAAACAGTAAAAAAGAAAAATTCGTAGAATGACGAACATTCATTGAAGAAACCTTTGAATGTTGGTCAATGTTGTGGGATAAAATATAGCGCTCAACCTTTTATAGCTGTTGAATTATTGATATAATGAAGAAGAAAAAAATCAATTAATTAACTACAATTAGTTATCATTACATCCACTTGTATTTCATGTATCTGAAAAAGATAATTCTCAATAATCATAACTGGACATTCATTTATAATCATAGTTACATTAGTTTTGTATAAAATAACATTTTTATGAATATATGCAATTTAATTGCCTTAAATAAAAGTAATACCTGTGCTTTTATAATAAAAATAGAGTCTGTGCACAAAGTGTTAGATTCGATGATATCCATGCGCGGATCTAGAGGGGGGGGGGGGGGGTCCGGACCCCGCCTGGAATTTGCAGAGTTATTAAAAGTATATATTGAAGCAAAGTTTTTTTTTGTTTGCTTGTTAAGAAATTTTTGGGTTGAATTTTTTTTTTGACTGGGGTGGACCCATCTGGAAAAAATTCCGGGATCCGCGTCTGATACATTTATTTGTTGTGTAGTATTTTCAATCTTAATGACTTTTGCATTTAGCTAGTATAATAGACATCTTACGAGGTTGAATGTCTTGAGTAGACATAAATACATGTAGTACCTATCTGCAAATGGTGGTGTTAATACATTTATTTTTTCCTTTAAAGTTACAAGTGAAAAATGTATACAGAGTAAAGCTTTTACATCTCATTATTTACAAATCCATTGCAAATCAAGATTTTAATTCTACGTTTCCTTGAAATTTACAGCATATGCTTCTCATCGTAGCTGTTGATGGAAATGAGGTAGAACCATTCAGAACGGATATTATGACCATTTCAGTGGGAGAGAGCTGTGATTTCATTATATTCACAGGACAACCCCGAGCCAATTATCATATCAATTTTTTTACAACTCCGACTAGAGTTATAACAGGGGTAAAAGCCTTTTGTGACATATGCAGCATGAAATAATATTGGAGTTTTAATGAGCTCTCAATATGTGTTTCTTGCTTGATTTGTTTCTATTTAAATTGTGCCGTTCGTGATTTGTAGGGGAAAACATTAATCTACTGTAAACATATTACATTTGGCTTTGTATTCTTTTAAGTGCTTTTGGCGGAAAGAAACTTCCGCTAATTCAAGTACAACGCTAAGTGTCTTGCACATATACACATAAATGAGAACATAAAGAAATGCGCTAAATCAAATCCACGCTAACTTGTTAAAAAATCAATTTCCGCTAAATATCGTACACACTAAATATAATATATTTACAGCATTTGAATTCTTTTAAAATCAAAATTCCCATGTTTGATTTCTTATTATTTTCAAAAAGTAAAAATTCAGCGATATTTTATATTGGTTTATCGTAATTTCAACACACTTTAGGAGGAGATTGTTACCCGGAAACGTACCTATGGTATCTTGAATTATCGTGGGGTGGATGCAAATTTTAATCCTATCACACTAGAAAGGGAGTGCACACGAAATACACCGTGCCTAGCAGTCAATCAAGTTTACGGGTACTTTTTCCATTTTATTCTATTGAAGGGATATTTTAAAAAAAAAAAAAATAGATTTACATTTAATGTGGCACGAGCCAGAGTGGTTGTCCGTTCCATTTGTGTTTAAAATCGGTGCATGTGATATAGACCCTAGCTAAATATAATTCTAGTATCTGTATGCTTTAGCCTCTATCCAGCAAGTGAAAATACGATAAGCGTGCCTTTAACACGTCTAAGATCTACTGAATGGACCTTAAGGCAAAATCCAGTCCCTATTGTTGGACCTGGTGATAGAAAGCAGTTGTTCTTCCTTAATTTCCATTTCTTCCGTAAGTATTTTTTCATTCATATTTATATATAGTGATTATAAAATATATAAAAGTATTTATACTCTTAGAGAGGAGGAAGGGGAAATTAATTATCTATGATCTTTAATTCTTCTTTCTTAATTAATAATAATATATTATGATACTTCTCTCTTAAGTAATTAGTATGTGCTTTTCGACAGATTCATGTTCCACATAACGGCTCTCCTTTAAAAGTTATAAACCTACGACTTATTTCTTTTTATCCATTGAATTATCTACACGTATGTAAAAAAAAAAATCCGAAAATTAATCATATTGAAAAATATCTACCATATAAATAAAGCAGTGCGATACATACCTTTTATGCCATCTGTGACTGTCTGTAAGAAGATTATAACAAGCTCAGAACAGATTTCAAGGAGATTTCGTTTCAAGAAAAATGTACCTTTGAGTGTAAAAGATTGAATTAGATTTTTAGGCAAATTCATGATAAATTACGGTTGCTGATTAAAAAAAAAATATTTTCCTGCCCCAGGGGCCTTGTCAAGTTATCTAAATATTATCAATAATTTCTGATGCAATTTTGTCAATGATTGTCCTTATGATTTCAAGAATCAATGTAATTTGTAGAAATAAAAAGAAAATGATAATTCCTGGATTTTTATTAGTAATGATTTCTAAAACAGTAAAATACTGCCTTTGTTGTGTTATAAGGGATTTAACGGATGTAATGCAGATGGGATACTTAACTCTCGTTATATAAGCGTTTTTTACAATAAGTATAATTGCAACCATTTACCCCGTTATGAAAGAAAGAATGGCATTAAATGTTTATATCTTTTTAAAGTGTTTACTTAAATTCGGAAAGACACGATGTATTGTTTTATTAATCCTTATGTTGGAAGACTTCTGTCATATTTTGGGCTACACTTGGTTTAAAAACACCGGGTCTAAATAGTTTAAAAGTTGGTATTGCTTGAGATGACAGCAATAAAGTGTCATAAAAGATAAAGGAGATATATTTATTTCAGAACAAACCTGATTATAACATGAGTAGAACAAGCATTATTTTATAAAATAGACTCACTTGATACTTTTGACAAAAGTTTTCTCTTTTCGAATACTCTACGATGACGACTACCAGACACTGATAGACACTGATCTCCTAAAATTGATACAATCTTAAATATTGCTTCTTTAAGTCTTTAAGAAAAAAATTATTATCCTCCATTCTACAAAATACAGATAAGAATTAATCTACTGAATTTTTTTTATTCGACATTTAATGCAAGAAACAAGAGGTTTCTGTTGTGCAGTCCTCTCCTTTTCTGATGGAAGTGAATACTCATGAGTTGAAAGTTCCGACATAGAGCTAAGATTTTATTCAATCACTGGAAATTAAGTTTAACACGCAGTTTGCATAAATTTTGCACCAAAACTAAATACAGACCTTTAGACATTTCATTGAATGAAGAATAAAGCATGAAATAATTAGAGATAAAAAAAAGTCATGTTAGTGTGCTTACCTAGCTAGCTAACGTGTTTCTCTCCATTCCTGGATAAAGTAACCAATTGTTAAACAGGTGTATGAGAGTCAATATACGATGGTCGACAGCAGCCACTACCTTCTGATTAAGAATATTGTCATTTTGTACAGCGTTTTGTCAATTTTCGTAGCAATTACAACTAAGTGATGATGCGAAATGTACATGTAAATTTTTTCCACTGACAATTTCCACCAGCAAAAACCGTTAAAATTCGTCCGTGTGACTTGAAGTTAAGATATATGAACAGGTGACTTGAAAGAGATAAGAGTTTCATCCTCAATAAGCCTGAGATATCGTAACCCAATTAATCCTAAATGTGAGACGTAAAATCGTCATCCTGTCAATTTTTTTGTTTTATCATTACATTTAAAAAAGATATTTTAGGGATTGTAATTAAAAAGGAGGATAAAAGTAATAAATTTGTTGTAATGGATATACATGAATATCCGTATCTCCTCTGAGTGTATGAGACAACTTGTTTTTTTGATGAGTTTTCAATTGCTATCTTTCAGCTACAGATCCTGTTATTAATGGTGTTCAATTTCGAAAACCTACCTCGGTTCTTCAGGTAACTTGATAAAAAATGTGAATTATTAATGAAATATTTTTATTTAATGCAAAACACTTGTATGTAATATTTTGCTAATATTAGAATGTATTTGACACTCAATTTATTTCATGAATGTGTTTTTTTTAGAGTTTCATCATTTTAGTAAACGATATACAAACCTGCAATTCTATTCATTTTTTTGACATTTTTTTGTTTTACTTTAATATCTAGGGAAATAAAGATAGAGCAATTATATAGTATACCGGTATTACATATTCTAGAATATGCATCATCGAATAGTTACGATAATTTTGATTTTACTTCCTTTTCCGTCATTGAATGAGGTAATGAGTCTGACTCACACAATTTATTTTCACCGTTACACAAATAAAATAATTCTTAAATGTCGATTTTTTCCCCAAAAATGATTAAATTATTGAAGTATTATTTTTAATTTACAGGGATAGATTTAAATACTTATCGACCTTAGATCTGAGGAATATTTATAAAAGCAATTTATATATGTAATTTTAGTTTATGCTTTGAAAAAACTAATTCATTAAACATTCATTAAAAATTATTCAAAACAGTAGCCAAAATTTTATATTTTAACAAATGCAGATAAAATTGTGTATGATATCATAATATTTTCATCTGGCTTCTCTAACTAGTGGTTTTATGCATATTTCATGGTTATAATTCTCATACTAAAATGAAATACATCAGCGATGTCTCTTCTGTTTGAGAGAGGACGAGGACATGGAATAAAAAAAACCCATTGCTTCCCTTAGAGCAATACTTTATAGATAGTCTGATAAAAGGTTAAAATTTGATATGGCAATCGAATACAGAATTACCAACCGCAAGACTTTTCGACCGATTAACCGGATCAATCATACATTTAGGGCATTATTTTTTTTCAAGATCAGATGTGACATATCTGTATAGGATTGACACCATAATTAGAACTTAATTTGAAGTATAGCTTATTTTACAATGTTTCTTTTTTCTTCAAATAGTATATAATTTGATAGATAAATTCTAAGGATAGAACACAATAATAAGTTCACAGTACTCAGCAATGGTTTACTTAATATCATATTAAAGAAGCACAGCTTAAATTGGTTAAAATCTCACTTATCAGTTTTCATATTTAAAAAAAAAAAAAATTGAGGAAATTCAAATGTACAAATTTTATTTTTTTTTATTAACAGATTACAAATTTTTCACCGATTACCATCGTTCCTACCGAGTAACCAGTTAACCGGTTACAAATTTTCATTCTTAGTTAAAATTTATGTATAACACGTCAGGCCGAATCAGTCCAAATTCGCCATTGGAAGTGTTTCTCGTTCTCTCATATTGCAATGGTCCAGAAATAGCTCGAGTTCTAGAACTGATTCCTATCGTGAGAGGAAGTTAAACCTTGTGGTGATCTTATTGAGATATGCATCAGAGTTTTAGGATTAGAGGTGTAAAAAATACTGATAAAAAACTAAATATAAAATTTAGATGTTTCCTTATCTGAAGTGAGATATAGATATGACTTTATTGAATAAACATGATAAACCCGATCATTTCAGACAATCCCTGGTCGGGATGCTATTGTACCATGCGGTCCTGATACATGTACTGCCGAAGGCTGCCGTTGTACACAGATGTTGAAGTTGGACCTTGGAAATGTCATTGAAATGGTTTTATTCTCATTCAGTAAGGAAATTTTATGGAACATCTACTGTATCTATCTATCTATCTATCTATCTATCTATCTATCTATCTGAATCTACAAAGAACTACATTTCCATTCCTTTATAAATTTCAGGTCGAGTTAAAAAAGCCCACCCAGTCCATTTACATGGGCATCAATTTCATGTCCTAAAAATTGGATATCCTCCGTATGACCCAGTAACCGGAAATGCTACTGCACAAAACCCAGATATAAGATGTTTAGACCAGGCCTGTACAAGAGCTACATGGGCAGATCCATCATGGCGTCATGGAAATATACCAGGCTTAAATCTAATTAATCCCCCTATAAAAGATACCGTCGTTATTCCTGCCAATGGTTACGTCATAATTAGACTGAATGCCGATAATCCTGGTAATCCTCTTTAATAGTTAAATGCATCACTAGCTATATTGAGGCCAACTTTTCATTTCTACCAAGATTGCGAAACTCATGATTTAAGATGCTCTTTTAAGGGTAAGTGTTAGAGGATGGGAACGAAGTAGTCGAAGGAGAGAGATGGGGGTACTCAGTATCTTTATCTTTTTTTTAAATCAAAACTTTCATAATCTGTGATATATTTACATGAATAGAGGCATCCATCTATTGTTGGTCTTTCAAAATTGTTTGCTTTGGTCTGTTTTTAAAGACATGTAATTATATCTTATAGGTTTCTGGTTCATGCATTGTCATTTAACACATCACCAGATAAATGGAATGAATTTGGTCATGCAGGAAGGTGATATACAAGACATGCCTCCTGTACCACCTAACTTTCCTACGTGCAATAACTTCCTGTCTAATCTGGAACAATGGTTAACGTCACTAAAAAGACAGGAAGCGATACTTTTATCAAAAGGTAATTGTATAAAATTTGATATAAAAATAACCACTTTTGTAACTTATTTAAAAAGGAATTTACATATAGTGCTGCATTTATTGAAATCTGAAAAAAAAAACGTGAATAGCCTTGATTCGAGCTATTTGTTTGTTAATATTTCTATTGATTACATGTATATCACGTTAACCTAAATTCATATTACTAATTAACACACACTGTTTAAAAAAAATTAACGAAAATAAATGTTATTTTTATTACAAACAGGAATAAAACCAAGTTTCACATCGGGGGCTGTGTTGCAGGGGCATAGAAATTCTGCAAACCTTTGTAAAGTGTTTCCATGGCAATGTAGAAAACCTATGTATAGTTAAACCTGTATGATTATCGGAGAAGATGTAAATAAATGTATACATGAAAGATGTTATGTATGATTCAATCAATATGGGTTATTTGCAGTGGGCACTGTACATAAAGCACAGAGATAAAAATATGTTTTACCATGAAATAATTGAACTTGATCTTAAGTAGCAAATTTGATAACACAAAGATTTCTAAAGATTCTTCTAAAAGATTTTCAGAATGATTTAAATTATTTAATCGCATTTTTTTCAAAATATTTTGAAGGTATTGTTGAGGAGATGTTAGTCAAATGATTTTGTGTCATAATATTCAAAACGTTTTTAAACCATTTGAGAAAAAAAATTAAGCTTATATTTTTCAAATTGCTATTATAGCAACAGAATTATGTTTGGTTTTAAGAGTTTTTTTTTTTAAATTGAAAATAAATAATTGCTTTTGCTTTAGTGGAAGATATTTTTATTAAATATTTTAGGTATGCATGTTAGGTCAATACATGTCTTATTACAAGAATAGTATCACAGAATTAGTTGAGATCTTTTGCATTTATGTTAATTTTGTTATTTCCATGTTTGACTAATCGAGAATAACACAGAACGTGATTATTTCCGAATTATGGATAATTATCAGTGAGTGGAATCGTACACTATATAATAAAATATTTAGATTTATAACTTTCTATGCACAGGGGAATGCTTGCTAAATAGAAGAGTGACTTCAGTCGATCCCCAAATTTTCGTGACGGCCTACCTTCGAGACGGTTGTTTGGTATCTAAAAGCGAGACAAAATTTTCAGGAACTTTTGTTAATAAATAATAATAAAAAAATAAAATTATTGCGAATAAAAATGATTAAAAGTGCTCTTAATTTACTAAAATACATTGTAGTTCAATTTTCGCTGTTTCCTGGTATATCTTCCATTAAAAGTGGAAAAAATGACAAAAATAGCTTCTGAATCAGTACATTTTTTTATCTGAGAATTAAAAAGTGCTTGATATTTTCCAATAAATATATTTCCTAGATTATTTCATAGTCATTTACCGCCGAAATAAGCCTTAGATATTGCTGACTAGGCTTTAAGCAATATTTAATAAATCAATGAAATATGGAGATAACGAATAGTATTCAAGCTCAAAGTACATTTAGACAAAAAAAATTGGGAGCAGATCAAACACGGACCTCCAGAGAGGTCAAAGGTGGAATCAGGTGCCATGGTGGAGTGAGCATCCCTTGTCGATCATAGTCATTTATACTCAGACACATTTCTGGAAGCTTCAAACACGTATTTAGTGCATTGTGCTCATATTGTTAAAACTGTTGTAGTATTATCAAAAACTATACAACAAAAAAAGCATAGTATACATTTTGGTTTACAATTACACAAAAGGCAAGTTCTTGATACCACTGGGCTGATTTTAAGGTTGTAGAAGCTAAGCTTGATATGTAGATTGTTTGTTGTTTTACGTTCCATTCGAAAATGTTTAGGTCATAGTGAGACGTCACCACATACTCGTGAAGGACTTTAAATTTAGACCTTTCCTCGCACTTAGGGCCAATCAGCAGTGAGGGACCTTTATCATACCAACACCTGTTGTGATACGGGGCGTCTGTTTTTAAGGTTTTAGGCAAAAGGCCCTCAAATTTTACTTTAAAGACCGAGCGCTTGGCTAAGGAACAGTTACTGCCTATTTTTTTTTTTTTATCAACTTAGGTCAGTTCGGTTGGGATTTGAACCCATGATCTTCCCATCACGGAGCAAGCACGATCGACCGACTGAGCTACCGTGACGGGCGTGATATGAAGATCTACTGAATGCTTTGCAGCTGGGAAGTATCGCTTCTTTTGACGGATATAGATGCCGTTCAAGATAGTAGCTTTACGAAGACCTACTGAACCTCTACTATTTGAGCGTTCGTTCTAGAGTCTCGGAGTAAGGAGTCGATCCTTGCGTCGCGGGTTCGAATACCAGTGTGGGACGTGGAGACCGGTCCTTCGAATGAGACCGTATAAACCGATGTCCCGTGTCGTAGTAGGTGCTTGCACGAAAAAGATCCCTCACTGCTCAATGGCCCTGAGTGCCGAGTAAGGTCAAAATTTGCAGCTCTCCACCGGCAAGTGGTGGCGTCTCCATATGAGTGAAAAATTCTCGAATGGGACGTTAAACGACAAACAAACAAAAAAAATATACTATTTTGTACACAGACCAAAAGTTTAAAAACTAGTAATCTATATAATTATACAGCGGTTGTTGACCTGGCAAAGTACGATGCATTCCATTGAGTTACAACGCACTTTACATGTACACGTATTATTTATCAATGATATAAACTTGAGAGTTTTTTTTAAACATCTTGTCATGATTTTGGCACAACAGCCATACATCAATTTGCTGTCATCAGCAATCAGTTAAGAATTAACTTTCATTTAACAATCATGAATAAGCCCAAACGCATTCAAAATTAGTAAAATCAAAACCTCAATTAATTATAGAAAATAATGATAATTTGATGGATGAAAAATCACCATTATCTTAGTTGTCATAATGAATAGTCAATAATTAATTACTAGTTAATAATTTTTTTTGTTTTTTTTTTCACTCTTCAGAAAAATATATCCAACTATGATGTCTTAATATTGCAGAACGACACCCTGATATCAGGAGGGTATGTTACAACGCGAAATGAAATAAGAGTGCGAAATGTAATAGACTGGGATTATTAACGCGATTTTTGGACTATTTCATTTTGTTTTGGGATTAACGCAAAATGTAATTATGCACTTTTTTGTTGTTACATTTTGCATTAGTTAATTTTTGGGTAGAGAACAACGCTAAATGTTATAAACAAAATGTAATAAAACAAAATATATTTTTTTTTTGCATTGTGTTCAACGCAAAACATCACAAAATTGATTTAAACATATAACAATAGGGAAACTCTCTTTACTAAATAGACAGACACGCAGACCTATGACAATGAGTCAAACGTTACAGTTTCACAAATATTACTAAATCTTATTGTATCTTTTCTCTAATTTTCTTTGCTACATTTTTATTAGCTCACACGAGCTGAAAGCTCAAGTGAGCTTTTATGATCACCCGTTGTCCGTCGTCTGTACGTCGGTCTGTCCGTCCGTCTGTAAACTTTTCACATTTTCAACATCTTCTCAAGAACCACTAGGCCAATTTTAACCAAACTTGGTACAAAGCATCCTTGGGTAAAGGGAAGTTTAAATTGTTAAAACGAAGGGCCAAGTTCCCTTCAAAGGGGAGATAATAAAGAAAAGACAAAAATTGGGTGGGGTCATTAAAAAATCTTCTCAAGAACCACTGGGCCAGAAAAGCTGAAACTTATGTGGAAGCATCCTGGGGTAGTGTAGATTCTAAATTCTTCAAATCATGACCCCCGAGGGTAGGGCGGGGCCACAATAGGGAATCCAAGTTTTACATTGAAATATGTACTAAAAATCTTCAAAACTTTTCTTCTAAAGAACCACTGGGCCAGAAAAGCTGAAACCTATGTGGAATCATCCAGGGGTAGTGTGGATTCTAAATTGTTCAAATTATGACCCCTGGGGGTAGGGCGGGGTCACAATCGGGAATCCAAGTTTTGCATTGAAATATGTAGAAAAAATCTTTAAAAATCTTCTTCTCAAGAACCACTAGGCCAGAAAGGCTTAAACTTATGTGGAAGCATCCTGGGGGTAGTGTGGATTCTAATTGTTCAAATAATGACCCCTGGGGATAGGACGGGGCCACAATAAGTACTACAAGGGAGGATCAGGTGAAAGACAGCAAGGCCAAAGTTACTCAGATGAGCGTTGTGGACCATGGGCCTCTTGTTGAAAACTTCATAACTAAACTTTGAGGAGAAAACCTCTTAACTAAAACAAAAGCTCTTGATATACTCTACGACGTGCATGTGTACGTTGCTTAGTAAATAAGAAGTTATGTTTGCGTGTCTGGAAAGGAGAGACGGGGGGGGGGGGGGCTTCATATGTTGATCATTGCATTTTGATGCGCATGCAGAACACTATCCATTTCATTATTTGAGAGAGAGAGAGAGAGAGAGAGTTTTGCTGGTCTACAATGCACGTGATTTTTAAAACAGTATGAAATCTTGATTGTCAATAAACCCCCTTTCTGCTATATTTACACCTGCCAGTAAAAATATCTTTTTTTCTAAATTTCATACATGTGCCTATCAAAAACCAAAACAAAACTGATACACTGGTCAACGAAATTACCTCACCCCACATACACACCCGTGCATTCATACGATTCTGATTTTCAACACCTTCAATTTGAATATCTACTGATTTTAAATGACTAATGAATCAATATACGATAAAATCAATCTAATGTAAGTATTCGTAATTGATTATTTTCCCTTTTGTTTTTTTTCTTTCCGTTTCTTTTCTTCATCCATCACTCAATTAAAAATTATTCTCAACCTGACTGACCAAAATGTGTTATTACATTTTGCGCTGTTGCATTTTGCATAATCTAAAGGCAAAATGTAATAACGCAAAATGTTATTATCCTAAAAATTCTGTTTTTACATTTTGCGGTATTATAATTTGCGTTGATCTCGACGTAAAATGTAATAACATAAAATGCAATACTCCCAGTTTATTACATTTTGCGTTGTTATTACATTTGGCGTTGTAACAGAGGTACCAAGGGATATGTGTTGATACACATTTTACACACACTCCTCACACCGTCACAGATATAAAGGTATCTCCACGCACCAGAAAAAAAATATTTTTTTACCAGCCAAAACTAAGAATAAAGCAACATAATATTAGTGAGAAAAGAAACTTATCGAGCAAGGAAAATAGAAAAAAAAAAGCCAATTGCAATTAATTTCTATACCAAGTGCTTTAACGTAAACTCGCACTGACAATCCACACCCAAAGAAACCTATATAATGAAATATGTGGAGATAACGAACAGTATTCGAGGTTTAAAACCACATCCAAGTATAGAAAAATAATATCCTTTATGGGATAACAAGTTACCGAAT